TCTAAGTGTTTGGGGAAAGAACCAATAGAGTTTAAAGGGTTTAGAGATGAAAAATGAAGAAGAAAAGTCGTCAAACACGTGAGTATAGGGGTGGGGAGTCGTGCCAGCCAGGTCTCCCTAGACCAGTCCCTGAATGCTAAGGGTTGGCGCCCCGCGCCTCTCAGAGCGCCAGGGATGCCAGTTCTCCCAATTTGCTCCCCACCTTTTCGTACTTATTCCTTAGCAATGTACCTATGTTTTCTAGTTGATTCCAACACTCTAAGGTACATCTAAACATCATGAAATCATCCAATACATGAGATCATGAACCTTGAATCCACAATCCAATTCAAGGAAAGTTAGGATCAAAGTCAAGAGAAGTTAAGAGTCAAGTCTAGAAGTTAAGAAGCAAATCAAAGCAAAGTTTTAAAGTTTCAAAAGTCTTTAACAAACGTTTTAACCTTATTTAAGACTTATGTTTCAAGTTAAGCAAAAGAGTAAAGAGTTGAGTTCATTTCTCAAAAAGTTACAAGGGAACTAAGTATTACCAAAGAGTTATAAATGTTTTCACATTTGAGCAAGAAAAGGGAACATCGATTCCAAGAAAGCTTTTAAGCTAAGTTTTGAGTAATTATCTCAAACCAAAGAAAGAAGTTTGTTTTTAAAACATATGAGCTAAGTATATTTTTGGTAGTAGTATTGAGCACCGATATGGGGATGCGAGTTCATATTAACTCAAGTCTCCATAAACCATGTAGCCATCATGGGTATTAATGAGTCATACTTTTTAGATGATCACATAGGTTAAGCTAGTGGATTCACTAAGTTAAGTAGGTATCATATGACAGCAAAGTATAGGACCATTCTAGCAGCGTGTCAAAAGACGTTGTATCACTACTTAGGCTCATAGTGATGGTTGTCAGTTAGAGAAACTCCCACCTAAACTATATTACTTTGTATATGAGTAAAGTTGAGTTTGTTATTGCATTTTCTTTAATGAACTAAGTTGCTTTTACAGTTTATAAAGTTTTTCATATAATGCATGTGTTTCATTGTTTTATTCTGAGTTAAGTTTTTTCATGAGTTGAGAAGAGCCAAGGTAAGTGTTTTCTTCAGATTCCTTTCAAGCCTATATCTTGTTTTATCATTCCAACTCGCATACTCGTACATTCAATGTACTGATGCCAGTTGGCCTGCATCTTCTTATGATGCAGACACAGGTAACCAGGATCAGCATCTAGCGCCTCGTTGATCCAGCTTGAGCATTCAGAGTCTGGTTGGTGAGCCCTCCTTGCATTCCGGAGGACTCGTTTATTTGCTTTCTAGTTTTTCAGATGTTAGGATGATCGGGGGTCCTGTCCCGACATCCCTCTTTGTTTTAGAGGCTTCGTAAACAGTTAGTAGTCAGACGTCTTTACATTATCATTTCATATGTTAAGACTTGAGTTGCCATTTTGGCCAAGTTGAATGTTGACCATTAAACATTCTGAGTTATTTCACTAAAGTTATTTGAGTAAGTTCATTTGATTGTAGTAAAATGTTTAGAGTCTTCCGCTGAGTCAGTAAGCCAAGCCAAGGGTTCGCTTGGGGCCAATAATGGTCTTCGAGTGCCGGCTACGTCCAGGGTGTAGGCTCGGGGCGTGACATAAATGACCTTAGATGGCTTTCTCATCTGTCTTCTCTAGAGTTTTTGAGTCTGAGTGGTAGCAACTTCCAAGTAAATAATTGGTTTCAAGAGATAACTGAAGTGCCTTCAATGAAAGAACTGGACTTGAGTGGTTGTGGACTTTCTAAGTTGGTTCCATCTCAACCTGATTTAGCCAATTCTTCTTTCATCTCTCTTTCTGTTCTTCATTTGTGTTGTAATGAGTTTTCTTCTTCATCCGAATATAGCTGGTTATTCAATTTTAGCACAAGTCTAACTAGCATTGACCTCTTTTATAATCAAATCATTGGTCAAATTGATGATCGCTTTGGGACCTTGATGTATCTTGAACATCTTAATCTTGCTGGTAATTTCAAGATTAAAGGCGGGATTCCCAGTTCTTTTGGGAATTTGACACGTTTACGTTATCTGGACATCTCTGACACTAAAACAAACCAATGGCTTCCTGAGTTGTTTCACAGGTTATCAGGCAGTAGGAAATCACTTAAGGTTTTAGGGTTGAATGACAACTCAATGTTTGGTTCAATTGTTAATGTCACAACATTTTCATTCTTGAAGAAATTATACCTGCAGAAGAATGTGTTGAATGGCTTTTTCATGGAATGACCGGGACATGTTTCTACCCTTGAGTATCTGGATTTGTCTGATAACCAGATGAGAGGGACATTACCAGATTTAGCACTGTTTCCATCATTAAGAGAGTTGCATCTTGGCTCTAATCAATTCCAGGGGAAGATACCACAAGGTATTGGAAAACTATCACAACTTAGAATTTTGGATGTCTCGTCCAATAGACGGGATGGATTACCAGAAAGTATGGGAAAACTATCGAACCTGGAAAGTTTTGATGGCTCATATAATGTCCTGAAGGGTACAATCCCTGAGTCCCATCTTTCAAATCTCTCCAATTTAGTGTATTTGGACTTGTCATTCAACTCATTGTCTCTAAGACAAGCTTTGATTGGCTTCCACCTTTTCAGCTACAAGTTATAAGCCTTCCATCTTGCAATTTGGGACCTTCTTTCCCAAAATGGCTTCAAAATCAAAATAACTACACTGTTCTAGATATCTCACTTGCAAGTATTTCAGACACGCTTCCAAGTTGGTTCTCTGATTTTTCCCCCGATCTAAAGATTTTGAATCTCTCAAACAACCAAATCAGTGAAAGAGTATCTGACTTAATAGAGAATACATATGGTTACATGGTTATAGATTTAAGCTCTAACAACTTTTCAGGGTCTTTGCCTCTAGTCCCTACCAATGTCCAAATATTTTATCTGCATAGAAATCAGTTTCTCGGATCCATCTCTTCAATTTGTCAAAGTAGAACTTCCCCGACTTCTCTTGACTTGTCACGCAACCGATTCTCAGGAGAACTTCCAGATTGTTGGAAGAATATTCTAATCTAGATGTTCTTAATCTAGCCTATAATAATTTTTCTGGAAAAGTTCCACCTTCATTAGGCTCCTTGACAAGTTTGGAGGTTGTATACATACGCCATAACAGTTTTAGTGGAATGTTGCCTTCTTTTTCACAATGTCAGCGGTTGCAAATCTTGGATCTTGGAGGAAATAAGTTGACAGGAAGAATCCCAGCATGGATAGGGACTGATCTACTCAATTTGCGGATTCTAAGACTGCGATTCAACAGATTTTATGGTAGCATACTATCAATTATCTGTCAGTTTCAATCTCTTCAGTTACTGGACCTTTTAGCAAATGGATTATCAGGGGAAATTCCACATTGCTTCAACAATTTTACCTTATTATATCAGGATGATAGTTCTGGTGAGCCAATGGGATTTAATATCCAAGGTATCTATGGTAATCCTCTTACTTACTACTTGTACATTGGTGACTTATTGATTCAATGGAAAAACCAGGAGTCTGAGTACAAGAATCCTTTATTATATCTGATGACTATTGATCACTCAAGTAATGAATTGGTTTGCGGTATACCTAAAAAGATAGCTGAGATGAGAAGATTGCAGTCTCTGAACCTTTCAAGAAATGATCTAAATGGAAGTGTCATTGAAGGAATTGGTCAAATGAAGATGTTGCAGTCTCTTGACTTATCAAGAAACAATCTTTCTGGTGTGATCCCTCAAGGTCTTGCTAATTTGACTTTCTTAGTGTGTTGGACTTGTCGAACAACCACTTATCCGGGAGAATTCCATCAAGCACTCAACTGCAAAGTTTTGATAGATCATCCTACAGTTATAATGCTCAACTATGTGGTCCTTCTCTTCAAGAGTGTCCCGGATATTCTCCTCCTAAACCTCATATCGATCATGGCAGCAACACCAATCCATAATAACATGACGATGATGAGGAGTTCCCATATCTGGAGTTTTATATATCAATGATGATAGGTTTCTTTGTCACATTTTGGGGAATCTTGGGTTGTTTAATTGTCAACCGTTCTTGGAGAAATGCCTACTTCACATTCTTAACAGACATGATGAGTTGGCTCGATATGATGTCAAGAGTCTGGTTTGCAAGACTCAAGAAAAAGCTGACGAGGGCCTGATAAATGTAAAGTTTGTGTGTAGTTTGTTTATTTTTAAGAAAAAGCTCGATAGTTGAGGTGTGTGCAAGTTGATCCGAACATCACTGTTATAAAAAAAGAAGATGATGAAAAGCTTCATCCCTAGCCCTTGGAAATTTCTCAATTCACATTCACTTATTGATATATATCTGGATGGCCTACAGTAATGTTAACCCTTGTCCAGTTTTGCTTTACTTACTATTTATTTTGGTATGTAAAAGTCAAATATACTCCATTTTTTTTACTCTAGGTACTTGTTTATTCTGCAAGTCAAAGTAGAAGAAGATTAGATGTTCATATGGTATAATCTTTCTTTTATTTTCTTCTCAAAGTAGGGTCACTTGACTATGATATCAAACTTAAGTTGGTTGTATAATTAGAAAAAAAAATCTGTATGATTTATTCTTAACGAGTCTTTGTTAACTCAAAAACAACCTCTCTACCTTCACAAAAGTACATGCATACAGACCACCCTGCCTAGACCCCACTTCTCGTAATATAATAGGTATGTTGTTGTTGTTGAGTCTTTGTCTAATATTCAGAAATAGCCTCTCTACTTTGACAATAGTACGAATATGGTTGCGTACACACTACCCTCCCCAGACTCCACTTGTCGGAGTATAGTAGGTATGTTGTTGTTGAGTCTTTGTCTAATATTTTGGTTGGGTTTGAGAAGGATTTAAAATCATGGATTTCTGTTTCCTATTTATATAAAAACAAGTAGATGCTTGTAGGAACCATGTTATAGTTGAATAGGTTAAAAGTTTCAGAAATACAGAGAATTTAACAAGACCCTTTGTATAGTTACATGGGCAAAAGAAATAATCCAAGAGGCTTTCTTATTACTTGGTCTTTACTGCTCCTAGAGACAGCTTTTGGATTAACTTCAAGAGAAGTTAGCAAGACCCTTTGTATAGAAAAGGGGAGAGATGCCCTTCTTGAGTTTAAAAGAGGCCTTAACGACGATTTTGGTCGTTTATCTACCTGGGGTGATAAAAAAGAATGCTACAAATGGAATGGTATTGAATGTGACAAAAGAACAGGTCATGTTATTGTTCTTGATCTCCACAGTGAGGTTACTTGTCCAGGCCATGCTTGTTTTGCTCCAATATTGACAGGTAAACTTAGTCCTTGTCTACTTGAGTTAGAGTATTTGAATTTCTTAGACCTCAGTGTAAATGGATTTGAAAATAGTGAGATACCAAGATTCATAAGCTCCCTTAAGAGACTAGAGTACCTGAACCTTTCATCTTCTGATTTTTCTAGTGAAATTCCAGCATAGTTCCAGAATCTAACTTCTTTGAGAATTCTTGATCTCGGAAACAATAAACTTATAGTAAAGGACCTTGTGTGGCTTTCTCATCTCTCCTCTCTAGAGTTCTTGCGTCTTGGTGGTAACTACTTCCAAGCAAGCAATTGGTTTCGAGAGATAACTAAGGTCCCTTTATTGAAAGAATTGGACTTGAGTGTTTGTGGACTCTCTAAATTCGTTCTGTCTCCAGCTGATCTAGCCAATTCATCTTTGATCTCTCTTTCTATTCTTCATTTATGTTGTAATGACTTTTCTACTTCATCTGTATATAACTGGTTATTCAATTTTAGCACAAGCCTAACTAGCATAGACCTTTCTCATAATCAACTCATTCGTCAAATTGATGATCGCTTTGGGAGCTTGATGTATCTTGAACATCTTAATCTTGCTAATAACTTTGAAGTTAAAGATGGGGTTCCAAGTTCTTTTGGGAGCTTGATGTATCTTGAACATCTTAATCTGGACATGTCTAACACTCAAACATACCAATGGCTTCCTGAGTTGTTTCTCAGGTTTTCAAGCAGTAGGAAATCACTTGAGGTTTTGGGATTGAACGACAACTCGTTGTTTGGTTCAATTTTCAAACAACTTTATGAGGACCTCTGTAATGAGTTGTGGTAACTTCACGTATACTCACACTACTTTTAACGCCCATTTATGTATTTACAAGATATTTTTTAAGAATTAGCCAAATTCTCTGATTTTTCGTGTTTATTAGCCCATTGATCTGGCTCTTAGAGCACCCAATTTTTTTTCTCTCAAAAAACTTTAGGAGGACCTCCTTAATGAGTTGGGGAACCTTCACGTATACTTACATCATTTTATTATGTCAATTTCCGCATTTACAAGCCCTTTTTAAGAAATGCCCAAATTCCTTGATTTTTCGTGTGTTTGCCCATGGATCTGGTGTCCGAAGCACCCAACATTTTTTTCTCAAAAAAACTTTATGAATACCATTGTAATGAGTTGGGAAACATTCACGTATACTCACACTATTTTTAATGCACATTTCCGCATTTACAAGCCCTTTTTAAGAATCGTCTAAATTCCCCAATTTTTCTTGTGTATTAGACCATGGATCTGGCGCCCGGAGCTCCCTAAATTTTTTCTCTAAAAAAACTTTATGAGGACCTCTGTAATGAGTTGGAGAACCTTCACGTATACTCACACCATTTTTAATGCCCATTTCTACATTTACAAGCCCTTATTTAAGAATCGCTCAAATTCGTTGATTTTTTGTGTCTATTAGGCCATGGATCTGCCGCCGAAGCACCCAAAATATTTTTCTAAAAAAACTTTATCAGGACTCTATAGTAAGTTAGGGAACCTTCACGTATACTCACATATTTTTAAACTCCCATTTCCGCATTTACAAGCCATTTTTTAAGAATCGCCAAAATTTCCTGATTTTACATCTATATTAACCCATAGATATGGCGTCCGGAGCACCCAAAATTTATTTCTGAAAAAAAATTGTGAGGACCTCCGTAATGAGTTAGGGAACCTTCACGTATACTCACACCATTTTTTCAACGCCCATTTCCACATTTACAAGCCCTTTTTTAAGAATTGCCCAAATTTCACATTTTTAGTGTGTATTAGCCCATGTATCTGGCGCCGGGAGCACCCAAATTTTTTTTCTCAAAAAACTTTATCAACACCTCCGTAATGACTTGGGGAACCTTCAATACTCACACCATTTTTAACGCCCATTTCTGCATTTACAAGACATTTTTTAAGAATTAGCCAAATTCCTCGATTTTTTGTGTGTATTACTATGGATCTGGTGCCTAAAGCACCCAATTTTTTTTCTCAAAAAACTTTAGGACGACCTCCTTAATGAGTTGGGGAACCTTCATGTGTACTTACAACATTTTATTAATGCCAATTTTCGCATTTACAAGACTATTTTAAGAAACGCCCAAATCCTCATTTTTTTGTGTGTATTAGCCCATGGATTTGGCACCCGAAGCACCCAAAATCTTTTTCTCAAAAAACTTTATGAGGACCTTTGTAATGAGTTGGAGAACCTTCACGTATAATCATAATATTTTTTTGATGCTCATTTCTTCATTTACAAACCATTTTTTAAGAATCGCCCAAATTTCATGATTTTCGTGTATGTTTACCCATGGATCTGGGACAAGAAGCACGCAATTTTTTTTCTCAAAAAATTTATGAAGACCTTCATAATGAGTTGAAGAACCTTCACGTATACTCATACCATTTTTTAACATCCATTTTCGCATTTACAAGCCCTTTTTTAAGAAACGCAAAATTCTCTGAATTTTTCGTGTGTTAGCCCATGGATCTGGTGCCCGGAGCACCCAAAAGTTTTTTCTCAAAAAACTTTATGAGGACCTCCGTAATGTGTTGGGGAACCTTCATGTATATTCACACTATTTTTAACGCTCATTTCTGCATTTACAATCCTTTTTTTAGAATCACCCGAATTCTCTAATTTTTCTTGTGTATTAGCCCACGGATCTGGCGCTCAGAGCACCTAAACTATTTTCCTCAAAAAACTTTATGAGGACCTCCATAATGAGTTGGGGAACCTTAACGTATAATCACATCATTTTTAACGTCCATTTGCATTTATAAGCCCTTTTTTTAGAATCTCCAAATTCCCCGATTTTTCGTGTGAATTACCCTATGGATCTGGCGCTTGGAGCACCCAAATTTATTTCTCAAAAAACAATATAGGGACCTTTTCAATGAGTTGGGGAACCTTCACGTATACTTATATAATTTTTTAGCACTCATTTCTGCATTTACAATCCCTTTTTTAAGAATCGCCAAAATTCTCCTATTTTTCGTGTGTATTAGCCGATGGATTTTACGCTCGGAGCACCAAATTTGTTTTTCTCAAATTTTTTTATGAGGATCTCTGTTATGGTTTGGGGAACCTTCACGTATACTCACACCATTTTTAAAGTCAATTTCTGCATTTACAAGCCCTTTTTTAAGAATTGCCCAAATTCTCCGATTCTTCGTGTGTATTAGCCCATGAATCTGGTGATTGGAACACCCAAATTTTTTTCTCAAAAAACTTTATGAGGACCCCATAATGAGTTGGGAAACCTTCACGTATACTTACACCATTTATTAACGCCCATTTTCGCATTTGCAAGCCTTTTTTTTAAGAATTTCCCAAATTCTTCGATTTTTCGTGTTTGTTAGCCCATAGATCTGGCGCCCAAAGCACCCTAAATTGTTTTCTCAAAAAACTATATGAGGACCTCCGTAATGAGTTGGTGAACCTTCACGTATACTCACACCATTTTTTGAACACTTCACATTTACAAGTCATTTTGGAAGAATCGCCTAAATTCCCTAATTTTTTGTGTGTATTAGCCCATGGAGCGGGAGCCCGGAACACCCAATTTTTTTTCCAAAAATCTTTATGAGGACCTCCGTAATGTGTTGGGATACCTTCACGTATACTTACACCATTTTTAACGCCCATTTCCGCATTTGCAGGCCCTATTTTAAGAATCCCCCTAATTCTCCAATTTTTCGTGTGTATTAGTCTATGAATCTGGCGCCCAGAGTACCCAAAATTGCTTTCTCAAAAAACTTTATGAGGACCTCTGTAATGAGTTGGCGAACCTTCACCTATACTCACACCATTTTTTTAACGCTCATTTCTGCATTTACAAGCCATTTTTGAAGAATCGTCCAAATTTCTTGGTTTTTTATGTGTATTAGCCCATGGAGCTGGCGCCTGGAGCACCCAAATTCTTTTTTCAAAAATACTAATGAGGATCTCCGTAATGAGTTGGGGAACCTTCATGTATACTCACACCATTTTTAACGCCCATTTTCCCATTTACAAGTCCTTTTTTAGGAATCGCCCAAATTCCCCGAATTTTTGTGTGTTAATGCTTATGGATCTGGTGCCCGGAGAACTCAAAATATTTTCCCCAAAAAACTTTATGAAGACCTCTGTAATAAGTTTGGTAACCTTCACATATACTCACACTATGTTTAACGCCCTTTTTCGCATTTACAACTCTCTTTTTTAGAATCGCCAAAATTCCATGATATTTTGTGTGTATTAGCCTATGGATCAGGCGCTTGGAGAACACAATATTTTTTTATGAAAATCCTTTATGAGGACCTTTGTAATGAGTTGTGGAACCTTCATCTATACTCACACCATTTTTAAGAATTGCCCAAATTCCCTGATTTTCATGTGTACTAGCTCATGGATCTGGCATTCGGAGCACACAACTTTCACGTATACTCACACTATTTTTTTAACGCCCATTTCCTCATTTATAAACCTTTTTGTAAGAATCACTCAAATTCTCCAATTTTTCGTGTGTATTAGCCAAAACATCTGTTGCCCGAAGCACCCAAAATGGTTTTCCCAAGACTTTATGAGGACCTCCGTAATGTGTTGGGGAACCTTTACGTATACTCACACCATTTTTAACTTCCATTTCTGCATTTACAAGCCCTTTTTTAAGAATCGCCCAAATTTCCTGATTTTTCGTGTGTATTAGCCAATGGATTTGGCGCCAGGAGCACCTAAAACTTTTTCCTCATAAAAATTTATGAGGACCTCTGTAATGAGTTGGGGAACCTTCTCGTATACTCACACCATTTGTTTAACCCCCATTTCCTAATTTACAATCCTTTTTTTGAGAATTATCAAATTCACCCATTTTTTATGTGAATTAGTCTATAAATCTGGCGCGCAGAGCACCCAAAATTTATTCCTCAAAAAACTTTATGGGGACCTTTGTAATGAGTTGGGGAACCTTCACATATACTCATACAATTTTTTTTAACGCCCATTTCTGCATTTACAAGTCCTTTTTTAAAAATCGCCCAAATTCTCCTATTTTTCGTGTGTATAAGCCCATTGATCTGGTGTCCAGGGCACCCAATTTTTGTTTCAAAAAATTTATGATGATCTCCGTAATGAGTTGGGGAACCTTCTTTTATACTCACACCATTTTTAACTCCCATTTCCGCATTTACAAGCCTTTTTTTAAGAATCGCCATAATTCCTTGATTTTTCATGTGTATTAGCCCATTGATCTGGCGCCTAGAGCACTCAATTTTTTTTTTATCAAAAAACTTTATAAAGTCCACCGTAATGAGTTAGGGAACATTCACGTATACACACTATTTTGAACACCCATTTCGGCATTTAGAAGCCCTTTTTTAAGAATTCCCTAATTTTTCGTATGTATTAACCCATGGATTTGGCGCCTGGAGCACCCAAAATTGTTTTCTCAAAAAACTTTAAGATTACCTCTGTAATGAGTTGGGAACCTTCATGTATACTCACACCATTTTTATGCACATTTTCGCATTTACAATCCCTTTTATAAGAATTGTCCGAATTCATCGATTTTTCGTGTGTATTAGCCCATGGATCTGGTGCCTAGAGTACTCAAAATTCTTTAATAAAAACACTTTATGAGGACCTCCATAATGAGTTGGGGAACCTTCACGTATATTCACACCATTTTTAACGTCCGTTCCCGCATTTACA